ATTTAGCATTATTTAATTCAGCTCTGGAATGGACTTTTCATGACTAAGGGGAGCAAAGAAATGCAGAAAATTTCAAGTTTGGAAAGAAGCTTTCAAGAAGAATGTGCAACGTAAGACTCCCTGGTTATTTTTATCAGAGCAATAGAACCTCCTTCTAGTACTGGGTTAGGTAGATATTTTTCCCTTAGGCAGGTTAAAAAAAAAGTGACTGAAAGCACCAAAATTATCATGTGCATAAAATTTGCTCTCTATGGATTTCAATACATGCAGGGTTGTCTTCTATTGTGATCCCTTTCAAATCCCAAGTGTCTCATTTTAAAAGGAATCATTTCAGTTCCCCTTTCAGTCAAAAGATTAAACCATTTTAATTTTCTGAGGGAAGAAGCCCCCAAAGCCGCATAGAAGTTTTTAATTCTTCCCTAATATCAGCTGAATTCTCCAAAATGCCTGCCTCTGAGGGAAACAGAATCCATTAAAAAGCAGTTATTAAGCCCTGTGAACAGAAAACAATATTAGAAGCCTAAAAATGATAGCTTTGGGGCAATGAAACTCATTGAAAGAAGGGTATAGAGCAGGAACAAGAAAGGGGAAAGATCCTTTATTATAAAAAGAAGATTATGGTGAAAAATATAACTAATTAGCATTTTCATTGTTTCTTTCAATAAAAATCTCAAGAAACTTTATGGGACAAGTAGAGAGATAAAATAAAGCCTCGGGGGAGGCTACCAGATGGAATAATATACACACAATGAAAACATAAACAAATATGGAAACTTCACTGTTTACGTACGCTGTGTAACTGCCTAATCATGTTGTCTACATAGATTGTGTGTACCACATTTAGTTTGTTCCAAGAGTTTAATGTTTAAGAGCAATATCAATGTTTTAGAAAGTACTGTTCCCTTACAAGTGTAACTCTAGAGTCAAGTACAATGGGGTCAAACTTCGGAAGTTTTTATGTTATGAACTAAAACACATACACACATCCCCCCAATTGGAGTTTTCTATTTACAATAGGCCCCTGTTGCAAGGGTATAGATGTATATGTGCTGCCAAGGTCTATGGTATACGCAAATGAAATACTTATATATAAAATCATCTATCTCTACTAGAAGAGTTCCATGTTCCATGGAATAAAAAACATACATATATTTTTGTAGTACTAAGATCTATATAATAGAACGCTGCCAGGGAATTGGAAATGCATAAGTCTCATTTAGATGCTGGTGTAAATGTAAATGATGTTCTTACTAAGGTCAGATCCTCCTAACCATCTCAGAGTTTATATTCAAGACCCATAATGAAGTTTAAATGTAACACGGTGCGTGTGTTCTGTTGCGATAAGGTTTATTATTTTCAATACATGGAGTGAAGGATCAGCCTTAGTCACAATTCATAAAAGCCATCTATTCCACTGACAGTTTAACAAAAATGGCCCACAAATTAGTGTGTATGTTCCCAACAAAGGATATAGATTGAACATTGATTAAACTATATGGACTACTGATTAGTTTTATACACCCTAAAATAGTACTTGCTATCTATATTCTTGCTGGCCTAGAAATAAGCTTAAATCTTCTTTTAAAACATAAGCCTACATTAGGCAACTTAGGAATTAAAGAACTCCTTCATATTGCAATCTTCTTCTCCAGAAGCTAGTCTTTGAAGTATCTTAGCATTTTGAAAGCAAAAATGAAAGTATTAAAAACACCACATATCACTATCAAAGATGATGTCTTAGAGACTGACATTCATCTGATTTTGATTCTCTTTATGTCTCTAGGAGGAGAGAAACCTGTGTCCTAACATCTGAATATTCAGATTTCTCTAATTGAAAGTAACATTTACATTAGCATTGGATTTTTTTTTCTTTTTTGAGACAGAATCTCACTGTGCTGACAGGCTAATATGTAAAAGGCATCATCATAGTGCAATAATTCACTGCAACCTCAGATTCCTGGGATAGGATGCTTTTTGTAGTACTAGGATCTATAGATCTAAGATATAGATCATCCTGAGACGCTCCTGCCTCAGCCTTCCCAGGATCTGGGACTCTACGTGCACTAGCACACCATGCCCGGCTAATTTTTATTTTTGCTTTGCCTCTTTATACACTTTTGCTCTCATCACATAACAAATGGTCCCAGAAACTCAATAGCAGACCCACTTCTATCCTCAACTATTTCACAAAAACTAGGTGGACGTGGAGCCCTTAGGACTCACAAAAAGTGTGTTTCTCACCTTATTGTCATCACTCTTTCCTGGTTCTCATCCATTTCTTGGCTTACTGGTTTATCTGCCCTGTAACAGTCTCATTCCGAGGTGTCTAGCTACTCAGACCCTCTGCTGTCAGTCATATAAATACTTTACATTTCTATTTACTCAGATGTCTTTCGGAACAAGCATTGTGTCTACTGTGCTGTTTCTAAATTCCACTAGGCCATTTACCTGTGGTTCCTGACTTCGTTGTGTTCCAAAGACTGTGCGGGAGTCAACCTCTGCTCTTAAATCCTGACTCTCTGATCACTGACAAGGTCTTTGACTCATTATGATCACACACTTGCTTGATTTTTCTACAGTACTTATATGTTGGATTTTCAGAGATCTTATCTAATCAGGACTAAGCTCCATTAGTTATGATTTTGTGACCTCAGGCTTCTCGTCTTCAACAACACAGCAAGTTTGATTATGTCAGGTAAGTCCTTTAGAAGAAAGTACCAGTCTTGGTATTTCTATAGATAACAGCTACCCATGTGCCTTTTTTCTTCTTCCTATCCTGCATCATCAAATATTACAGTTGAGTTTGTAAGCATTTTGGTCATGTATTTTGAAATAGGCCAGAGAAGCAAAGGAAAAGAAATGATATAAGAAAATAAGCCTGGTTACCATGGCAAATAGATGCACTGTCTTTCCCCAGAGGGACGTAAATCATTGATCATGACTTCTTCTCACTTCTTAACTCATCTTTGATATCTTGAAGTACATCTATCTTAAAATGAATCAGATTATAATAATCCATACATTAATAAAGAAATGTGAGTTTGTGGCTAATATAGAATTCCTATATTCTAAAATGAATGAATATGTTGTTAAGCCAGACTGAGGAAATGTTCCACGTGTGTCTCTACAACCCAGAAAGACGAGCAGTACAGACAGTTTAAAGACAAGCAGGAGATGAGCTGGGTGTAATTCAACTGAATGACAAAGAACAGACATGTGGGACTAAGCGATATCTAACCGGCAAGTAAACTAAGTGAAATGCATCCAGAATGGGATTTTTATCAATGATAAAAATTCATTTAATTACAAAATTAAAGGGAAGCATGTAAAAAAAAAAAACCAAACAAACTTATATCCCCACTCCACAACACTCCCCCCCACAATCAAAGAAAATTCTACATTGGCGAGAGAAAAGAGGCTGATTAAAACAATTCAGTGAGAACAGATTTATTTTGAAATCAATTTTATTATCGAGATATAATTTCTATTTTAATTTTTTGAGAAAATAAGAATTCTTCCCCTCCCACATACACACCCCTGATGGAATGTGAGTAGAATACAGTCGTGCTAACTCTGAGGGACTTGGTCCTGTGGGCACATGTGATCATGAATCTAGAAGATGTTTATGAAACTGTAGAACTGACAAGATAGGCCAGTAAGTCACCTTTAGGATGTGGGTGTATTCTTTTAATAAGAGTTGGGAAAATTTAATAACTGGAGGGATTAGGGTTATTTATCTGAATATATTTGTCTAAGGTCATTTGAGCAAGTCCTAATCCCATCTGGCTGTTGTCAGACTCAGAATATTGCTGTTTACTAATGGCTTATCCCTCAGGAAATTCTATACAGAATTTAATGCACCTAAATTTGCATGCACAGATTCATTCATTCATTCACCTATTCCTCCATTAGTTTACATTCATTGAATTCATACCAGAACTTTGTGATACAAAGGTGTACTTTTTCAAAGACATTAAACATAGTGCCTTAAACTCAAAGGTAAAGAGTTTATTCTAATACTAGTCTGATGTGGGACTAATAGACAAAACTTTTTGGCCCTTATTGCTGGGGTGTCTGTATCAGGCTGGCCTGTGGCAGGTCATTTAAGTAAGGCTTTCCACAAATGTTTTCTGTGTTGACTTTCAAAAGAAAAAAAAAAAAAAACAGGCAAGTAGAAAAGGGAAGGCTATATGAAGGCATTGAGGAAAGAGCATTTAACTTTCAAAACGTCCATGGGATTCAGGATGTCTGGACTATAGACAGAGGAAACAGATGATGCTAGGTGGTGTAACTAGGTCAGGGAGAGCATTTTATGCCACAATAAGGACTCAAGATTTATTTTCTGGGCTATGAGAAACCACCAAAAAATTTATAGCAAGGGAACAACATAATAAGTTTTGCATTTTAGTAAGCTCATTCTGGCTACAATAAGATAGGAGACCTGTAAGGCAGTTGATAAAACATTTAAATGATAAGTAAATGTTTTACATGATCTGGAGAGGGAGGATAGATTTGAGATTTACAGAATCAACAAAATTTGGTAAACAAAAAGGCATGGTGGCTGAAGAAACTGAATGTACCAGTAACAATTCTCTGATTTCTCATCTGGGCAACTAGCCAGCTGTAGTAAGAGAGTTAAAGAGAAGCAAATTGGGAAGGAAATAAAGTTAATTTAATTTTGAACATGTTTAGTTTGGGGAAGTTAAAAAACAATCCCATTTGGGTTAATTAGAAGGCTTTTATATTGACTGATCTGGACCTCGAGAGAAGGATGCCATGTTAGTTTGCCAGTGTTGCCATCATGAAATACTATGAATCTACTTTTCACAACTCTGGGGGCTGGAAGTCCAAGACCAAGGTGGCAGAAAGTTTGGTTTCTCCTGAAGCCTCATTCCTTGGCTTGCAGACGGCTGTGTGTCCCAGTGTCCTAGCACGGTCTTTCCCTGTACACGCACGTCCCTCTTGTCTCTTTGTGTTCAGATGTCATCCTCCTCTTTTTTAAAAATGTGAAATGCATATGAATTTGTATGTCATCCTTGTTCAGGGCCAAGCTAATCTTCTCTGCATGCTTCTGATTTTATTACATGTGTTGCCAAAACTGGCACAGGGTCCCACTTCTTATAAGGACACCAGTGCGATGGGATTCGGACTCACCCTAATGGCCTCATTTTCACTCCATCACTTCTTGAAAGGTTCCATCTCCAAATGCAGCCACAGTGGAAGGTACTGGAGTTCAGGGCTTCACATATGAATTTTGTGAGAACACAAACCAGCCAATAACAGATCTCATTTGCAGATAGATCTGACTCATTGCCTATAAACGGCTATTAAAAAAAACATAGATAGTGATAGACGCTATCGCTCAGGGAGAATATAAAAATTAGGCGGAAGTGTGGCTGGGAGTGAACCCATGAACCTTAGAGACAGAGAGAGGAATTCACACAGCCCTCTACTGCAGAGGGGTCAGAGCAACAGGATGCTTAGGGAAGAATCATGCCATGAAAGCTAACAGGCATTTCAACAAGCGGAGTGGCCGGCCGCTTTATTACTCAGAACATACCACCATCACTCTGAAATGTATCCATCGGCTATAACAACAAAGAGTGTATTGAGAATTTTAGTAAGAGTGGCATTTGGAGGAGCTTTAAAATTTCCATTAAATAAATGGCAGAAAATAGAAATGTTTCCTTTGAGTGGTGTGAATGCTTCCTTTATGAATTTTTTTTCTATATCAGAGAGAAAAGGGAGAATTATAGGACTCAAAGAAAGAGTTTTCTAAGTGGATATAGAAACATACCCACACCATTGCAGACAAGCAGGAAGAACACATTCTAAAAAAGGGATAATTCATAATGTGAAGTCCCTGGAGAGGCAGTGGGAGATGAAAATAAGCAGATAAGGCACTGCTCTTTGAAGACAGGAAGGCCAAAGGTTAGCAGTGTAGGTGAGATAACTTTGCAGATATTGAGGAGAAAGTTGCTTAGTTCTGGCAAATATATTTTGTGGAATGAGAAAGAATCAAATCATGAGATCATGGCTGTGTGGCTGTGTTTCCATCCGGGTTCAGTGGAACTGGAGTAGAGAAGGTGCATGTCAGGATGGTTCAGGGTGGGGGCGGCAGCCAGGTCGAGTCACAGAAAATGCTGGCATGGTATGGTAGGAAGGGTGCAACACAGGGCATGAGTTCTACAGGACTCAAATGAAGCTTTGAAGGGAAGGATGACTTTGGAATAAACCTGTGCGTTAGGGCACTGGAAAAACTAATGTAGTCAAGTCAGGTGGTTAAAGAGGGGGCTGAGATAACTGGAAGAAAAGGAGAAAATTTCGAGCAGAACTTGATAAATGGGATTTAGGATATCAGAGGGTATGTTTTCAAGTGATCGTAAGTTCCAAGTTGAGGCAGTTGTTAGTGAGTGACTACAGAGGAACAGAAGAAATGGTTGTAGGAATTAAGAAAGTCAACCGGTTTTAATTGTTGAATGGGGCCTAGACACAGATGCTGTAATCTTTTGGAATGATGCTAAGATCTGATATACAAAAGTTTCCTGTGTATGAGAAGGGTGGCAAGGAAAAGAAGCCAGAGAGCACGGTGGTTGAATGGTCTGACTGCCTACAAAGTCACTTGGTAGTTGTGTGGCGAGTTGGTTGACTTATTTAACGTGAGAACTGCATATCCAGTGCCTCCTGGACCCGGCTCTCAGATAGGTCATCAGTGGCATTTATGCATAATTTAATGGCAAGCACGTTTGGTAAATAAATTCAAAAGGGATCTATCCTTATCACACTGAAAGTGAACAAATTTACATATACAAACATGTAAGAAAGTTGGAATGGGGAAATGTATGTGGTTGGAAGATGGTTCAAAGTTCAAACTAACACAATTAAAGCCTAGTATAAAGACTGGTGATCTTTCCAGAGGTGGTAACTCCAATGTTTTATACACAACGGTTTTAGAATTTCAGACCCAGGAAAGCTGGGGGACAGGAAAGGGCACTATTTTATAGCTAATTTCTGATTTCACTAGGGATAAATTAGACTTTTTGGGAAATGTGGTGGTGGCTCTTGATAGCAACAGCAGTGAGGATCTAGTTAGCAATAAACCTGTGGGCCTATGAGAGGCTGAAAATGGGCCTCTTCTCCATCTTTGGGAGGTGGCCAATGTCTGCTTTAACAATATCCAAGAAACGATATGTAAAAATAAAAAATAAGCATCAACTAGCAGAAAATATGAGTAGAGAAGATTAGCACATATTTTATGTCTTTCTATTTGGCTCTCAGCATTGATCTAGAATACGATGTCCAGGAACTTCTATATCATTATGGAAAATGATACATAGGTCTGGAGAGAAGAGCAAGTTGAAGAAATTTTTTAGTCAAAATGAAGTATTCTCCATCACTTTCCAAGTTCAAGAAGACTGTGGCCCTGCAGATAGCCTCCTATATAATTAACACATCTTTATCTATTAAGTATGTAGCCAGTGGACGCATCCTTTAAAACAGATTCCATCAGAAGTGGATGTGAACTTTTCACCTGGCCCTTCACTGCAGTTGTTGTTATTAAATCCATTAGGCCCATGTAAATTTAAAGCTTAAAAATGTACCAGACCGGTTAGTATGGAAAAAGAATGACTCATAAGAGTTTTAGTCCGGGTTAAGATCTGACAGGTTTCTCCCAGCCTCTTTTCACTGCCACAGCCTTCCCAATTCATGGAAGCCGCCAATAAGATGACTTGGCCTCTGGCAGTTGCTATTTCTATATTCTATAATTCGGGAAGCTCAGGCTTTGGGAAATCATTACACTTTTTCCTGTCCTTTTCAAGCCAGAGACAGCATTTACAGACAGTCTTTCAGTGGGCTATCTTTTTGTGTCTCCTTACCTGTGGAGAAGTCTGCTTACACGAGATATAGAGTTAAATAATGTCATTTTCCTTATATCCAGAGCACCAAGTCAAAAAATGTTAGAAACCGTATCTCACCATCCATTATTTTCTCTTCTAATTCTACCAATTTATGTAAATTCCATCGGTGATAATATTAGAGCAGGTTAAAAAAAATTATAGGGTTGCTACAGAAGCCAAATAAATGCAGACTCTATATTTCTGTTTCTCATAATTTAGGTGACCTTGGAGAAGGATATGGATGAAACTCAAGATATTTATTTGTACTCTACATAAAATTTTACTTTTAAACAGTTTATTACTACTTGGACCTCAGTTTTAAACATGTGAAATAGTGTGGCTAGACCATCATTTTTCTTTTTTCTTTTCTCGAAGTGGAACAAGCAGACCAACTCTGTTTATTAAGTCCTATTTACTTGGCTCTACTAGGATACAGTCTGAATGTCTTCATATTTTACAATTATTATGCCTTCCCTAAAAGGAAAGAGCTTTACCAATCCATTTATACACTGAAGTATAAAGAATAAACTGTTAAAGCTCTTTCTTGAAAAGAGCTGTTTAGAAACAGGCTCAAATATAAAATACTTTTAAAAGGAACTGATCCAATTCTGCAACTGGTCCCAGGTAACAAAGAAAAATGCCAATGTAGTGAAAGATAAAAATGAAATGATTGGGTAGGTCTATCATCATAAATATCAACGAGCACGGTAATTTTAATGTTGCTGAAATTGGCACTAGGGCATTATTGATTTTCTGTATCATTTAATGGTTTCCTGCAAATATCTTTTATAAAAGTGCATTATATGTCTCCTTAATAATCTTTTCTTGAGTCATAGCCTATCAAATCCTGCAGAGTACTATTCATTCAGCAGTAAGTTAAAGTCATTAAACATATTTCTATTAAAATTTTATTAGACTTGAACTAATATCCTGAAACCGATGCAATGTAATTTTACTATCCAACCAACTATGTTGACTGTTTTAAGAACATTTTTTAAAAATCCAAAAAAAATTTAAAAGGCAGCGAGCATCTATTAGAATTTTTTTTGGCATTTTTATCGCAGGGATAATTATTCCGAAGACCTGTTGTTACGATGACTTTCCTTTCTCAGCGAATCCCTCTTCTCTTTCCTTAATGCTTTCACTTGGGCAAAAAGATACTCTCAGCTCATGACCTATGTGAAATGTGTTTTAATTTTGTTCAATTCCCAGCTGCTTTACATCTTGACATAGAAGAATTACTGCATCACACAGTGTTAGAAAGATAGGAGATAGAAGATAATTACTGAACTTTATGTTACCATCGATGCATGAAATTTTTCAAGGAAGAAAATCCATTCATTTTGATAACACAGGCACATCGGTTAAATGCACAACCTTGTCCCATGAAAAATTTATTCTTAACACATTTTTTTCCGCTAGTAAGTCCTTACTTGATAGTGCTTCAGTGAATTTTGATTTTATTTTAGAGTTATGAGATGCACATATTTTAATGTGTATATACTTCCTCTGGGTTACTCAGGTAAAGTAATAAACTTGTTAGTTAATGGGATATGTAAATGTATTCCCTTTCCCTTCTTCTAGGTGGGGCTGTCAGTGTAAAATGAGTTTAGTTTGGTATTATGTGTCACCTGTACCTTCACATCCCTGAGTAAAGGATTTGTGGTTTTAGGGAGGGAAAGAAGCAGAGATCAGAACATGTCTGGCCCAGATGTCTGCTTGTCATCTTTCTATTTTTACTGTTTTCTTTTTTCTAAAATTTAATGAAGAGATTTGGGTATATTTATATCTGTTGAGTAGGGATAGAAATTGGATTACTATAAGAATGTTTTATATATATATTTGTGTGAAGAACTCTAATTTTTTTAGATGAAAAGAAAACCAATATGATTTTTCTTAGATTCTTATGACATACATGCATGGATCGAACCCTGATATGCATAAGAAGCAGTATGCTGCTTCTTAGATTTTTACATGTATACAGTATCTAGTTCCTATTTTTATTCATTCTCATTAATTAAACAGAGACGAAGATAAGGTAGAAACAGCATGTTAACACAAACCTGGATCTGTAAAGGATTGCATGGATTTTGATACCATTTTGAAGCCGTATACAAAAAATAATTATAAGTTCGTGCAGCTGAAGTTTTGTGGGGTACACAGCTTTCGCCAGAATTTTCAATGTCACCTAAAGTGACAAATCTTTG